ACTCGTCCAGTAATTGGATGCAATGAAAGAAGAAATCACAATGACGAGGTCTATGAAATCAACGCTATTATCTCTCTATTAGAGGTCCCGACCTATAATAGGAATCGGTTAAAATTTTCTCTATTAGGAGGCAAAAAGCTGTTCCAGTTACGCTAATAAATTCCTATTAGGTAGATATTATACGGTTAGGCTCTATTAGGCTTTCTAGTTACGACCCCCAGATCTATAACCGTTGGTTCTATAACCAAGCAAAATTTAACCAATGAATAATTCAAATGCGCCAGTTTCGAAGGCATTCAATGATATCGTGTAAGACATGGTGCATTAGCGTGAAGAACTCTTCAGACGTGAATTAGATTAAAACTCTATCTTCGACCAAAAACGGCTCTATCTTTTGGATTCAGATGGATTATCCGCGCCAATTTGGATGATCCGAGTATCCTGATCTCAATCGTGATCACACATCACAAAATGACATGGACATTACCAACTTCTAAAAATCCTCAGATTTTTTAATTTTTTAACAGGGAGTCCAGAGCAAAAAGGTGGTACCTCAGTCGATTTTCAAGCTCTAAATATTTTTAACCATAACCCCGCCCCCGAATACAAGGTTTCTTCATCTCGTGAAAAATCTATAGATGATCTGGAATTTATTTTCCCGCATTGCACTATTCCGCGTTGCCTTATTCTCTGGAATACATGGGAAGAATTTGTCATGATTGAACGAGGGATATACAGATTTCTACTTTCTCGTGCGAATTTGATGTTCAAGACACGCGATTGTTTTTCTATGCACCGACGGTTTTCGTTAGATAGATAGGGGGCATTCTCTGAGTTTGTTTGACCGGAGGGCAAACAAACTCGCTAGTATATAATAAATCCAGTCTTACAGGGGCCAGTGGAATGGTAGGTATGTACCTAGGCTGGTACTCTCTAGTTATTAATTTCATCCAGCTTCAGAATTCATTTCCCTGTCTGACTTTCGAGACTGACTCACGAGTATCTTTGGAGTTAGAAGAGTTCGTTGCATAAACTTCTCTGAGTTCACCGTATTATTGGGTATCTCCCCGGCCGCGCCAAAGCTCACAGGTTGCTTTCCCAGCTGGCTATCCTCGGGGAATAACAGTGCTCCGCTTTGCCCACTGCCGGAGTTGAGTCGTTCTCCCTCCCCGGCTGGTGTGACAACGCAGCTCAAGTACAGTAGATTGATGGCCCTTGAGACTGGAGGCGTCCTTGTCGCTGCCTTGTCCAGCCTACGCTAGATGTCATCTCATGCGGGGATGAGCGAATCTCTATGAGCAAACCTCCCCAAATTAGCGAATATATCGATGACTTCCTACTCTCTTCCCTTGGAGTGCTGCTGCATTTTGCCGTTGGAATTTTCGTAAACTTTCTCCCTTTCATCCTGTATGTTGCTATGAAATGCTACTCCAAGGTGGATTTGTATACATTCGTGTACACGATGTTTATTTCATACGCACTATCAGTCAGCTCTGAAGTGGGGCTAGGTTACTTCAGGGACATTCATGGCAATTATGTCCAAACTAGTTAGCTGGTGTCGTCGCTTTGCTTCGCTCCTAGCAACGATACCTCGGTCGTAGTTTGCCAAGTTTTAGTTGTAACGCGACAAAAATGCGACGCGGAACTTGACCTTCAATATCTCAAAAGGGGAAGGTCAATTAAACGAACTTCACCGGCGAACTCAAGGGGTTTGATAACTCCTAAAACAAAGAATCAATTTTTTTTAATGTTAAAAATGACCTTGGTGACCCAAGGCGGCCTCGTGGCCCATCAGTCACAGGGTTACCAAACTCCGTCGCCATGTTGTCCCACCCCTAGGAAGCTTGAAGTCCAAGTTTCATACCGTCTAGGAGGAGAAGCGGCCTCACACACTCAGTCATTAGTATACAAAACGAGAAAGTATTTTATCCGTGGGAAATGGCTCTTTTTCCCTTACTGTTAATCCAGGAGTTGCGCTCCCTCTGGTGGTGTATTGAGTTTAAAAGCAATATTATTCGTGGGTCTAACGGAACAAGAATAATACAATTTATTCATGATGTAGTGGGATAAGATTCGTTGCCAAATATCCCCTTTTCCGAAAAAAAGGGCATCGAATCTTCCATTATGAGTTTTAATAGAAATATTTTCAAAAAATGAATCCATTTATTTATATAACTCGACGCAAAAATAGTTTGACCTACCTGGCCTCAGCAGCGAACCCAAACAAGAAGTAATAATGCTGTTGAGAAAATTTTCCACTTTTAGTCTAGCTGTGGCGATACACAGTATATGGGTCATTCCACGGCAAAAGGGACAAATGAATCAACACTTCAAAACGAATGGGCAGTCCAACAGTGGATGTCGTCATAAAGAGTACATCCTCAAGTACAAAGAATTTAGTGTTTTGATCATCTTGGCTGCGATGTAATGCAACATCGCCAATTTGAATTTAAGGCACCCAGTATGGCCATTCATAGTCTACACTGTTTTTGATGATTTAAATTGCCATTTTGATTGTCACTACTCTGTCTTTGCTTTCACGAGCAAATGCTGCTGGTTCTTCCATTAGTCCAATCAACCAAAATAGGACTTGGACCATGAACTACATCGGTGCAATATCCATTGGCTGCGTAACTTTCGTAACGTGAGTCACGACTCTGACACGAGTCACACAGTGATCGTTTTCTTTCCCTACATTGATTTATTGCGTACGTGAATAAAATAATTCGATAAAGTGCTGCTGAAAGGCAGAAACGAAGGAGAAAAAAGCAGAAGCAAGAAAGGAAGTATGATGAAAGTATCATGTTATGGAACTGCGATGTTGACCGAAAAAAAGGTAAGCTACTCGAATATCCATATTTTAAAATGGATTGACTTCTAAGATTAAGGGAACGTTGCCTAGCATGTTCTTCAATATGTGTTAAAATGTCATGTGACATCCTCTGCCAGAACGATTTCCGTTCTTCCCTCCATTTCTTGCCATTTGTCGACATGTCTCTCAGATGCATCTATCCACACTCAATGGTTCAAGTCGCTGTATCTCGATTTCCATTAGAGCCGTACCGAGGATATTTGGCGCCCTGTGCGAGATATCAATCTAGCGCCACCCTCCCCCACGCGTGATGTCAACCCATCACCCACCAATCTCTATACCTCTCCAGCTTCCCCAGCACTAAGAATACATTACGTATTAATTTCTATGTTTAATTTAGTCAAATTCAGGATAATTTGCAATTTTTTAGTTTTATTCATATTTTGTAGTGATTTGGCAGCCAATCGACGCCCTGTGCGGGGGCACCACTGGCACACCCCTTGTTACGGCACTGGTTTCCATGACAGGCCTTGTTATCTGGCATTCCCATAGGTACTATGGGGAAATGCCAGATACTGCGGTCGGTTTGTCACTTTTTTTCCTTTTCATTCCGTCTGTCCGCAGTAACCATAGCGACTGGACAATACTACCCAATGCGCACGCGCAGCTTTCCGTCTGGGTCGGGGTGCCCGTCTTCCACGAAAACACCCACTTCCCTTCCAACCCTGGCGGTTGACGGGTCCATAGTAGACAATGGAGGAGAGCGGGCGGCTCCCGGCCGCGTAGACAGGGTTGCTAGGCGCACTCGTGAATAGCCGTATCTGGCATCCTACACTTCATACTGTCCTCCCATCTCCACGCGACACGGACGCGCGGACCATCGAGAACATGTCTAATTGTCCAGGTTTTTTCATATAGGCCTGCGCCGAACCAATGACTATGATTTATTTCAAGGTTGGATGGTTAGGATGCGGTGAACATACATTATAAATCCAGAGGTACAGGGGCCAGTGGAATGGCAGATTTGTACCTGGGCTGGTACTCTAGTTTGGGTTTTCTTTTATTTTTTTATAACTCACGAAACTCGGACGATACGTCCGGTATGAATGACAATATTTTTATTTTGATCAGGTCTTTTTTCTATCAGCTCGTTAAAGTGTTGAGGCGTATCATTGTTTCTCTTTGTCGTGCCAAATCTCCGCTCTCTAGCTTTCTCTTGCTGATGGATAGAATTTTTTCCCCCAGGAAGTTGGGATTTTTTTAATAGAAAGATCTGGCAGCAATGGCCATGCTCTCGACGTCTCCTCATTGTTCTCCATTTCGAGGCCCATATCTTTATCGACCTTCCCCCCCCCCCCCCTCCCGCTTCTGCACATTGCCTGCGATGGGAGATTGGCGCCGAGAATGGGGAAAATTGGGGATGAACCAACATCCATATCCCTTAAACTGCTGCATGTGCTCGAGCAGCCGTTTCTGTATGATTTTGAATTCGCTGATCCCGTTTGCAAGATATCTGGCTTTTGTGGGATTCTCTTTAACTGGGATGCATCCCTCCTGATTTGTGACAAGTTCGTATTTATACGATAAAAAAGCCCTTCATTAAAGCCGTTCCTAAACGAAGATCTGTGGTGGAGCACCTTAAGTAAGAGCACGTAAGTTTTCTTGGTGTTTGTTTAGTGTTGTCAATTCGTTTCAGTGGAAAAGAAAAGACGGAATAGGCATTAAAAAAATTCTTTTTCCTATATATTTTTGGAAATTGCACGGGACCGACAGAATAGACGCTTGATTAAAAGGATGATAAGTTGGCGAAGCTCCGGCCTTGATCACAGTCAAACAAAAAATATGAAAGGAAGGAAGGTGAAACGAGGTCAGAAGTCCTCAAAAAGCTGGAGGTCCTCCTCCGAGACGGTTGGCTTCTTCTGCCAGTCGACCTCTGAGTATTCTTCAAAGTTACGCGTGTCCCCATCGTAGCTCACCTTCGGCACGATCGGGGGCTGAAAATACAAATCGATTCCAATTAACGAGCCGAAGAATCGAGGGGGAAATAACAGCTGACTAGAAGTTGGAGTCAGGTATGAGAGGCTCTAGATGAAAAAGCGTGCAGCTTATACAGTAAGAGGAAGGTGGAGTGAGGGTGGGGGTGGGGCGGGAATGACTCGGGTTAATTTCTATGAAAAATAATTATTGTATGACCATCCTGACCGCACCCTGATGTCTATATATCTCATTTGAACAAATCCTATAACAATTGTTCCAGTTTAGGTGATTTCAAAATCAAGAATTAATGTTTAAACGAAGCATCGTACTCGCTGTCCCACTATATTTTCTCATAGATGGGAAAATTCTGTAATAATAGTTGAACTTATGAATCTATTAGAGAAAAAAATACATATATAAAATAATTGAAAGCGATCCACTCATCGCCAAAAAGTTACGTCGAGGAAGTAGAGCAATCATGATGAAATTTGGTACACAAGCTCATAAAATATCAGATAATTCTTTCTAGGAAAGCAGTCGTTAAAGGCAAGTGTCCGGCACTCGCTGTGTGGCTACAGCACTTGATGTGTCAGCCAGGTGGCAGCATCCTGCGAAGCGGCAGCTGGAAGACACAGGGAGTCAGAACTGGCGTTCACGGTGCGTCAAAAGAATCACGTGCTGTGATAAGAGTTTTTGCCTGTTGAAGGCAATACTCCAGCTCAAATTTACCATCAAATGACTGCACTTGTGCAATTCATACACGCGTGCTTGAGACAAAAAATTGTCTGTAGCTGATGTTGATGACTTCAGATATGGTTTCGCTGACATTAAAAAATGGCCCAATAGCGAGGGGACGGGGGAGGGGGGGAAACGAAAGGAAACCGGTGTCAATGGCGCCGCCCTCTTAATTTCCTCGTTCCTTCGGAAAGTTCTCTCCTATGACCTTGAAACTTTTATCGATTTTCCTTCGCATCTTCAAGAGTTCCTGTTCCGCGCTTCATCAGTAACTTCCACGCGATCATTTCCGGAGATAAGAACGCCCCTGTCCTCATTAAAAGTGAGGGCTTGGCAATTTTCTCTGAGTATATTATTCTACCCCCTTGAAGCTCTAATCGATTCCATGACAATGTAATGAGCTTGCGCCTCAAATTTCATCATGATCGGCTCCACTCCTTTTTATTCCCTGCTATCCCTTTTTTTTTACGGGGTGCCTATAAACATAACATGAACGCAACACGATAGAAATATATTTGTGAAAAATAATTCCTATGCAGAATTTCTAGTAAAAGTATTTTCTAAAATTTCAGTGGAAGTTCTATATTGAAATTCATAGAAACGGAGGTCAAAAGGGATGAAACATTTGAGAAACTCAATGGGCATACCTTAACTTTCCGGTAAAAGACGTCTTCCCAGTCGATGTTCTTGAACCATCGGTGCCTCTTCACATCTTCGGCACCGTTCTGAAACGAGGAGCATTTCATTTAATCATAAGTACTTTTATGCAGTTGGTCGGTCTTTGATGGGTATTTTACCAGTTACTCTTTTTTTTTCATAGAAAGGAAAAATTCAAATAAATTCCTGTCAGCGTAGGAAGTTTTCAAATTTGGCCCAGTGTGACGGTCAACTTCGGTTTCTCTCATGATGTACGTTAGAGTATTTATTTCCATTTCCTTTCTCACGAGACTCTGAACGAGTGATGGAAGAACCTTCATGGATCCGAGTCGTTTGGTGCGGTCGTGGACGAGGAGTTTCTTGACGAGATCCTTGGCGACGGGGTCGATGTGCCGGGGCCATTCCACCCGCCCGGCCAAGATCTTCTCGTAGATCCCAAACGGATTGTCATCCAGGAACGGGGGATATCCCGACAGCATCTCGTAGATAAGGATCCCTAAGGGTTTGAATACAATCCTGCGCATTAACCACAAGATCACACTGCGGGCAATTTCCCTTTTAATTATCTTTTAAAAACCTCTCCCTTCTCCTCCCAAGTACAGCACTCAATGGTATTCTGGACGGAACTGTACTTGTACCCAGTTAATATCGGGAGTCCATAATCGATCCGAAAAGTGACAGACATGAAGGCGTGGATGTAGGGAAACAAAAACTCATCAAAATGAGAATTAATAATGAAAAATGCTTTTAAAAATCCAGAAAATTCTGGTAAAGTTATCTGAAATCTTAAAAAAGTAAAATCGTGGGAGTAGGGTTGAGATCTGACCGTGACAAGCGTGAGTGGGTTAGGAGAAAATCGGGTTGCATGAATATGCAGATTGACGCTTTTCCGCTCCGTCACACATCTGACGTGCTTCGATAGACGGGGAACGAAAATGAACTCACCCAAAGCCCACCAATCGACGGCTTTGTTGTGACCTTTCGACTGGATAATCTCGGGTGCAAGGTACTCCGGTGTCCCGCACAGAGTCCATGTCCTGCCATGACAACAAATAAGGAATGCCTCTTCAGTCCTTTTTCTATGTCCGTTTCCACGTCTGTCTTGCCTCGCGTCTGGCTCTCCCAAATTCAGCATCCTACTAGGGCCATTCAAATGAAAACAGCAATGAATTTCTATCGGCTATGCATGCAGCGTTGCATTGAAAGCACTCTCCACGGGCATTGATATGCTTGTCCCACCGCTCAACCGAATTTTTTGGAGCACTTCCGTAGAACGACATTGGCATCTGGTGGCATCGTGTTCTCACTGCCTCTAACACGTTATCGTTCGACGCCCTCTTCATGAGACCGAATACGTGAAAATCACGTGGCCCGGAGACCCTGGACAATGCAATCCAGATCTGTCGCACTGTTGCACGAGCTGTGAGGTCTGACTAGGGTTTCCATACGTCCGGCTTTTCTCGGACATGTCTTCCATTTTCACCTTTAAATTTCCGTCCGACTGCTAGGCGTCCTCTTTTAGGCTGTCCGAAATATGGTAACTCTAGGTCGGACGTTGTCGTGAAGGATGACGTCCTTTATCAACAGTCCAGGGCGCTTGCTCTTCATGGCAAGTTTATTGCGCAACGAGTTGCAATATCGCTCCGTATTGACCGTAGGGCAGAAAATCCTACAGGAGTGGCCTCTGAGAGTCAAAGAACACATGTGGCAAGCGTCCGTTTGCTCTAATCGCCTCGTCCACCCTCGCCATGTTTGCGTTCGTGATGACGACATTGCCCGGGTCTAGGTTTGTCTTCAACATTCAGACGCCCGCCATGAAAAGATTTTGCACCATTCTTATACTATTCTCGGGGACAAACATGCCTCCTCATGAACGGCAACCAATTCTGTGGTGAATATCACGTGGTTTCGCACCTTCCGCACACAAAAGCTTGAATCACAGCTCTCTGATGTTCCTTGGACAGTGGTTCAATGGAGGATTTCTGGTGCTAGTATTGCTGTTTTCAGTTGACTGGCCCTAGTATTTAACTGTCTCTTCTATATCTATTAAGCAGTGAAAAAATCTATCCCAGGCGTAGAAAGGCTAGCATTTCAAGCTTACAATCTAAAAAAGGTGAAGCTGCTGTAAAGGACAGAAGAGCCCTGAATTGACGAAGAGTGAATCCTGGTAGACAATTATATAAAACTATTTAATCATTATTTATATTATGTAATTGAAATAAATAGAATTTAATAGAAATAAAATATTATAAATTAAGATATTACAAATTAAAATTATATATATTTAAATCTTGCTTATTTTTGCTTAGGTAATTAAAATTCGGAAAGAGGAATGAAGAGTGCAAGATGCGAAAAAAAAAACAGATTCACGCCTCTTCCCAGCCATGCGGAGCTGCGACCTGAAATTCATAATACCGTTCTTTTATGTGAAGAAGGACTGTGACAGATAGGATTTTCTTCAGGTTCACCCAAAGGGAAAGACGAGAAAGGCGATGGAGAAAGGTACAGGTTATTTGCGTCTTTCTTTACGGAGAAAGGCCTCTTTCGTGGTTCTGGCGCAACAGCCTTCATTGTGCTTCGTGTCGTCATAATTATGTTCGCTCTCCCATGATTTCTTTCTCCGAAGTCCATAGCATCCATTGTTCTGTGGTTCCTGTTACTAAAGATATTCAGCCCCGGCAAGAATTGACATATTACTGAAACAAGAGTTGAATTTTACGTAACGCTCCTCCCCTACCGAGTCCTTCCTGACGAGCCATCCACGGCTTACTGAAAATTTTCCTGAATTTAAATTTAATCGATTCGTATTTACGGAGAGACATTAGATATCGAGAATGGGAATGGACCGTCTACCGGTCTGTGAGTCGCTTGGCGAATCCAAAATCGGTGATTTTGAGGTGTCCGTCCCGGTCGAGGAGAAGATTCTCGGGTTTGAGATCACGGTAGACGATGCTCAGACTGTGCAGGTACTCCAGCGCTGAGACTATCTCTGCCGCGTAGAAGTTCCCTGTGCAACGGGGAGGAAAGGGGATGGTGACGTCGGCGAGCGTATTCGATTCGAGAAGAGAAACTTGTGGTACATACTGCTCATCCATGAAAGAATACATGCAGAAGATGCGAAGAAATAACTTTAAAAGGGTGAACAATTCAAGGAATCAGAGAGTTTGGGTACTTCGCTTTTGCCCACATTCTCATTTTGCCACCTGACCTGAGGCATGAGCACTTCCCCACTGCGACCGAGAGCGGCAATGCTGGAAGACATGATTTCTACAGGGAATAATAACTGTCGTACGATAAAGATAGCAGGTACATCTGCCGAAATGCGAAAGAAAACACAAAACAGTTACTGCCTCGTTCGTAATGGGATCCAGAGGAGACCTTTCGCACTTTTTCACCTTAGTTCATCACCAGCCACTGAACATTAAGTGGGGAAATGCGAAGCCCCACACAGGAGCATTCTCGTTTTCTCACAAGAAATTCGGCTTGTTCACGATGAGGCTCCGGTGAAAAAAAAGGAAGACACTATAGCATCAAGAACGTATATTGAAATCCAATGCTGATCTAACATCTGGAGTCATTTCACTTCAGGGCTTCTTGAGAAATGTTCGTTGCGTTGCGTTTCAAGTGAATGCGGAAACTGGGAAAATTATTAAACTACTATGGAAACTATTCTTCCTCATAGATGTCACACGTACTTAATAAAATATTGACATTGCAAAAAAAGCTTCAAATTAGAAAAAACGACACAAACAATCTGTAAATGAATAGTGAACAGAAAATAAGCAAATTCGATTAGCCGAAAGAGGTTTTTATAATAAAAAAATGGATTAAAATGGAAAACTAAGGCATCCAGCAGTCTTAGGATTTAATATCCTCAAGATGTCTTCAGGGGGGAAACAAAATGGGGTCCTCATCCAGGCCTAGAAACGAGAAAAAGTAAACGAAGGGAAAAAATAAAGAAAAATAAACTATTATCCGAAGTCTTGTCGGGTAAAGCGCATTTAGGAATCTTGACGGCGACAGTTCGAATCCACGAGAGTCAACGAGGTTTGGGTGTGGTGATTTGAGAACGACTGGAAAATCGACTGCATTGCCGAATTCCCTTAGGAAGTGGGAAAATGCAACGAAAGTGCGAAGTGGGCAAGTGCGAATGTGAGAAAGTAGTAATAATCCAGGAATTCATAAGTGGAAAGGATTTGAGAAAAACAAAAACCTATATTACTCTTAATCGACCTTACTGTTTTAAATATAATACGGAAACCGAAATGTAATTTTACGGGAAAACGAATGCACTGCTATACCGGGAAGCGAGAGGCGGCAGGGAATGCGAAAAGGAACTTGCCAGTGGAGCTGGGAAATCGGCCGGCGGAACGGAGGAAGGAGAAGAGCTCCCCGCCGCACACGAACTCGGTCAGCATGTAAAGAAAGGTCTGGTCGTGCCAGCACCCCAAACTACAAGACACAAACACGAAATGATAGTAATCATTGCTTTTCAGTCTTGCGTGGAAAGACTATTGTCGTCGCATCTCGACCGTAACGGGAACGTGGGCAGAGAAAACGAATCGGGGAAAAGTCCAGTGTCGATAACAAATTTTTTCATCGTGTTTATCTCATTCAGTTTATTATTTTTGTAGCGAATTCAGTTTGATCACATGAAAAATTCGATTAATCGATTACATTTTTAATAGCAATTAATTGAAAGCAGTTGAACTTCAATCGAATTCAAAATCTCCATCTGGCTGTCAGTCTTTATTTTCCAATTTCAATGCATATGGCACAGCCTTGCAAAAGAGACAAATGGGACGTTTTAAAAAATATTGAAATCCCTTGAAATTATGGCATACAACAGGCAGACAGGCAGGCACTTTTCCAATGCTAGTTCAAACATAAATGAACTGCAGATTGTGAGCAGTTTCTACTGTCCTGAACAGCTGCAATACCTGTATGAAATGGGAATGGATATTTGTCATCGGACGTGATAGGGCCAAAATGAGGGGAAACAGTGTTTAGAGTACCGGGAAAAGTTGACACCGTCTGGGTTCCTTCAGCAACCAGACGAGTTAAGTCACACTTAAACGCAAGAATCGAGGTCGTATTTTGCGCGATTCATCCAAGACTTGGATTTTATGTATCAACATGGCGCAACAACTCGTGCTGGGACGAAGGTTGACAGCCCCAAACATTCCTCGTATCTGCGATGCAATTAATGACGTCGTCCCGTTCCCGCGTTCGTTCGGGCGAGATTCCACAAAATTGAGCATTTTCGGAACAAACGGTGGTCCGGTCGGATTGAAATCGTTTCGATCCGCGTCGGCATGCAGCGGTACCAAATACAAAACCCTATTTAACGAGTTATTAAGCACGAAAACTAGGAGAAAACCGTGACCCAAACGAGAGAGATTTGCCAGACACGTGAGACCTGCCAAGTTACCCACGTGACGGAACCGACGGGCGGATATGGTGGCACGATACCAAATACAGCTTCGGGACCACGATGAGTGATCAAGGTATGTCCTTGTCAAAAGATGAAACGGAAGACAGGTGAAAGCAAAGGAAGGAAGAAATGAAGAAGGGTGACAGGTGATGCGAAGATGAAGATTCTCTGCGACGAGCGGTGGTTTCCTCCCTCCCTCCTTCTAGCCTCCTTTCACACTCGCCACGAATGCACATGGAAGCGAGACAGCATGGATCCTCCACCCTTTTCCACCTCCTTCTACCCTCATTTGCCGCTCGTCGCTGTGCGGATGCGCGTGGAAACGAGACAGCATGGATCCCCCACCCTTTACCCCCCCATCACGTCCAATGCCAAGCATCTATCCGTGCAAGCTGACCTGATCCCTCTCGCGTTTTGGGGCACAGCAAGGACTGTACGGGAAGGATATGCGTGCTCGATTAAAGTTCCTTTAGTCCATTGTTTAATCGACAAAAATTTCTACTCATAATTATTAAAGATGTCAGTATAATATTAATTTATTTGCATTTAAAAATAAATTTATTAATACAACGCATATATGTTTAGGAAAAATATGTTATAGTATTCATTTTAAAAGTACTTCTAGCATGAAACTGCAAATGCTCACCAGCAGATAGAGACATCTAGCGATTGTTAAAGACACCGGCTTCTTGAACGGATGAAAGTATAGGTGGCAAAAGAAGGCACGACCGCGTCTGCCATATTCCCACTTGTATATCCTCTTTCTTCTCCTAACCTTGGTTATTTTGGATGCAGAATAATGGCACACGAGCAAGAGCACGACGGAAAGAAAACGCGGTAAAGCCGGGAAAGACGAGGGGGAAAATATTTATGGTCGCGTGGGCGGACAACTCTCCCGCCCACCTGCTCCCTTTTGGCCCTTAAAACTTGGTGTGCCGGAAATTGGGGAAGTATCCTCACGGAAAGGAGCAGTGGCGGATTCAGGATTTGGGGGAGGTTGAAAAGGGGGGTTGGAGCTTTGGAACCGCCCTCCTAACATTTCTGTATCCGCCACTGGAAAGGAGTAGACGCTGCCGCTTCCTTTCCCCGCGAACAGGCAATTGAGGATAGGCATATGCTTCAGTTACGTTACTGACATGCAGATATACAGGGTGGGCAAAAAAAAAACAAAGCTATCATTTTTGGTAAGTTGTCAATCTGCTTGTAGGCTGCCGATTCTGATGAAATTTGGTAGTCACAAAGGGTAACTCATTTAGGGTTTGTGTGCCAAGTTTCAAAATACAAATTCAAAAAACTGCGAGATCGGCATTTAATTTACTTTTCATCACCAAAATGTAAGTGTTCACTTTTTTTCTTTCAGCTTAAAATTTTGCACAACTGACAAAAACAAACAGGAGAAAAACAAATGCACAAATGCCAAAAACGAAAGCACACAATTTGGTTTAGGGAAGTTCATTTCAACTGAAAATGTGCTCAATGTGCCCCTCCATTCTGTTGCACACAAACCTCTAGTCTAGAACACCACAGATCAATGGCTCGGTCAACAAACCTTTGAGGTAGTGCCTCCCAATCTTCCTTTGTAGCATCAGGCAGGGATGAAAGGTCATGAATTCAGTCCTCTCTTTCATCCCGGCCTCAAGTTCATATCGATATTTTCGACAGCACATTTTGTCGTTGGTCATCAGAAAATAATTACAGCTCTTTAGAGCCAGAAGACTGAAATTTGGTATACAAACTCCAATTGTGTCACCCTATAAGCCTCCCAATTTTAATCAGAATCAGCTGCCTACAAAGAGATTGACGACTCACCGAAAATGACAGCTTTATTTTTTTTTTGCCCACCCTGTACATATGAAGACACTGTATATTGAGCAACTTAAGACTGGACCAAGGAAAGCGAAGTTGATTCTTTCCAGGTCGACTCATTTTTACGACAGAATGCGCACGATGCCCCAGCGACGAGAAAGTTATGCAGCGGAATGATGGAAATTATTTGCAGGAGAGAAATCCTTACGACATGAAAATTGAACGTAACGGCATTTGCGGAAGAAAGAAAGAAAAAGTAAATCCCTCGGACATAGCCCGTAATCCGAGGTTCACGGCATCCGAGCGTGACCCCCCCGCTCGCACCTGGGATCGCAATAGAAATCTCACAGTTCCACAACGAAGGGATGCCGGACGGCGAGGAGGATGGACTTCTCGTTGCGAACGTGCTCCACCTGCTTGAGCCGGATGACATCCGCCATCGCCATGATCTTGAGGGCTTGGTACGTCCGACTGTCCCTCTCGCGGCACAGACACACACGACCGAACGTCCCCGTCCCTGTCGACGACACCAAGCATGAGTGGAAATGGGAAACGGGGACTTTTTCATTCATTCAAACTCGCGTTTCGAGGATAGCTTCGAATAAAATTAAAATTTCATGCACAAGGTAGAATAATTCTCTAGTGCCAAGAATTAGGATGAATGCATTTAGTTGCCTTGGAACTGAAATCGGCAACATCGAAAAGTATGACCCTTCATTAAATCCAACAGCGGAAGATTACGTTCGACATCGCCGAATATGACGATGACAAGTTTACTAGTCCTTGTCCTTTAGTTGTCCCTCATCCTCACGGATGAAAGGCACGCTGCATACTGATCGCGCAGGCGAGTTCTTCATGAAATGCCAAGATTAAAATGTCGTCTTCCATTTGTCATCATTGGAGTGGTCATTCTGGCATTCAAGTACTTAATCATACGAATGCGGTTTTGAGAAAAGAAAAAGGAAAAAGAAAACAATTCACTTGATGAGCCGAGAAAAATGACAGAGAATTCCTCAGCCCGTCCGGAAGCAATTTTTCCTCCCTTTCGTTGCTGGGGAGTTGTGACAGGGATGCCAGTAAGCCTCAAGGGGACATGATTAAAAATGACAGAGAGGAATTGACTTTCATCCTCAGCAAACGTGGGTGCAAGTGGTATAAAAATTGCATGAATCAAATTTCCATGTCTGCGCCGGGGGATTCCTTGTTCTCGGGGGGATTCATCTCCAACGAAAGGTCAAAACGAGAGTTTTCCTTATTTGGCTTCAGGTAAAACTGCGCCATAACATTTAACGCAGCTTCGCCAGACGTCGCACTCTAACGAGACAGTTTTACATGCTTAATCTTGGAGGTAAGTTTCAATGCCAAATTTCATCCCAGAGCTAATTTTCTATGCCAAATTTCATCAAGAAGCTGCGTCTCGAGGGCAGATTTCATTGTACGAAGGTTTTTGGAACGAGAAAAAAGGACTTGGTTTTGGATTGGTGGATTGGTGGATTGGCTCAACCGATGAAGATTTCTAAAAGAAACCCTGAGTCTGGAACTAGACCCACCACTGTGCCAAATTTAATCACTCAACTCCTCGTACTTGCGAGAATTTTTGAAGCGTAGAGGGAAAATCCTCAATGAGGCTCCCCCATACAGCCACGTGTTTCGACCGGCGCAGTTTGCGCTTCCCCGTCCCAGTCGGCAAGGAACACAGTCACAGTCTCGGAGGATGTTTCTCGGGCCTCCCGAGATGTATTAATATAATAGGTGAAAGCCTCTCCCGAGTTCGTTCTTCCGACGAACAGGTTCACGCTCCGCTGAAGGGGAAATTTCTCTCCGCATCATTATGTCGTCTTGTTTCCTCCTTTCGACCTTTTACCATGAATTCCGGTGACGTGCTAAGCTATCGCCTCGAGATGAAGGCGGGAGACCCGAACAAACGAGCGTCAACAACTTCCACGAAAACCAACCCGATGACCTCCAGGCGATCTCCGCAGGAAATTCTCTTTCACGTTCGCTAACAAAGCGTTTAGCATAACATTTTTTTCGCGTAAACATTTCGCTCGTCCGTTGATTATTTTCCTGCGACATCGTGTGGTTTTCGTGGTTTTTCTTCGCATTAATTTCATTCCGAGAAAGGGATGCCTTCCACCAAATAATTCCACCACCACCAAGGTGTCTGAGTCACTGGAAATTTCAATGCTCATGGTTTCAATCAATAGATTGAGTCATGAGCTTGTAGTTCTCTTGAACGCCGATCCAGCAAACTTTGACTCCCATTTAAAGACTGGGGACGAAACTTGGCACCCAGAAACGAAGCTCGAATCCGTCCAACCGGGGCTCACCCAAACAAATTCCGCACACAACCATCAGCCGGCCACAATTTTTTTCATATTCAAAGGGACTATTGCCGATTGGCAACAATTGGCGGAAAATGAGGGAAGCCAGCCGGAGAAAAAGGCGAGTAATGTTGACGCGGTGCTTTGCTCTTGCATGGCGTTCTCCTGTTCGCGAGACTCGCAAGTACTCTGGCCCAATTCGTGACCGTGGGGTTGAACAACTGAACCAAACCCCCCCCCTTCCCCACCCCATCAGCCCTGATCTGGCTCCATTGCCTAAGCCTAATCCTTATCTCAAGTCTTACCTTCGTGGCATTTGATTTTCGAGCGATGAATCGTTGACAGATGCTATGCAAGCGTGGGTTGAGGGCCAGTCAAAGGAATTATATTTATTTGGAATTGAGAAAAAAATGGAGTAAGTGCCTCGAAGTAAGGGGACACTAAAATACGTATTTAAAAAAGGAAATAGCGTGACTGCGTAATTTTAATATCCCGTTCTGAAAAGTTTTTGACCACCCCTCGTACGTTACGACTTTCAGCACGAGGAGTACCGGGTGACATTTCGCAATGCATTGCCTAATGCCTAATTGGTCAAAGTGTGTGTGGGGGTGGCAAGCATATTTGTAACTCCCTCATGGAATTTTCTTCACTGTGTGATCTGTTTAGCTCAAGCGAAAACGTTTAACACGTTACTTGCGGGACCAAAATTCCTATAAGATATAAATCATGCTGTGAGTCACCGGTGACTCGTGCCGCAGTGAACGTGTCAAGGGGAATTCCCCCCCCCCCCTTCCCAAATAAAAGGGCCCCATGGGTACCGTACCCCAAACGTAGATATCTTCTTGAATTCAACATCCAAACAGTTATTCCAGCTTCATTTATCTGTTCGCGTCGCTGGAGTTGAAAAATCCCATGGAAACGTTCCTGTATAAAAAAATTTCCCTTGAGAGATGTACCTCAAAAGCAGGATTTTTTCTGAGTTATTCTGAACTCATGGTAAGAATTAGCGTCAGTCATTACCGTCAGTGTGCGTGTGTGCGCTCTAAAAACAGTTGAAAACAGATAAACCAAGTCAAGCTTCTATTACAACTCCCAAGCAAGTTACTGAGAGCGTGGCACACGATCACAGCATCAACTACAGACACCTATGCTTGTCGACTATAAAAGTGAAAATTAGACATGTAACTCAGTCGAGAAAGCATTGAACGCCAAAAACACAGCAAGCAAACAAGAAGACAATAGTTTAAAAGTAAGTGATAGCAAGATGAGCCTTTGAATGCTGAAAGCTCTGGACGATCCTCAAGGGGATCCCCCTCATCAGGGAAACGGTCCTGCTAAAAACTTCAGTGCAGATGGACCTTTTCCGTATTTCTCTATGGAATGAAGGAGAGTTAGAAGAAGTAGAAAAAGTAAATACGCCCTACCACTCAATCCTGAAAGTGAACTGATAGGTACATAGGCGACCTTGTCGCTCTAAATAACTACTTAATCGAGGGCGATATCGACAAAATTTATCCAGTTGGTATGCAGGTAGAAGAAGCAACATCTCCCTTCAAACAAGCTCACTACCTAGGTCTAAACCTTGAAATTGCCCATTCTAGTTTTGTCACTTGCATTTACAATAAAATAATTTTTCCTTTGAAATTTTTTACATGCCAGTATTCAGATCCAACATACCAAAATACATTATTCAGTGTCATCAAATCTAAAATTACTCGCAACCTTCAAATTTGTAGGATTTTCAGACGGTTTTGTCTATAATAGCGGTCTCCTATATGCCAAATTGTGAAATAACGAATTTGCAGTCTGATTCTACAAGGTGTTCAAAAAGAAACGCAACCCATTGGAGAATGGATGTTTATTAGTAAATTAGTAAATAACTTCGATTCCTAATGTAACTTTCAACAATGAATATTCTTTTCTTTCTTGAACTGTGAACACCATTCTTGTACTTAATGATCACTGAAATAGAAAGAAAAGCAATGGGTTACAATGATATATGCCTTATCCAATGGGTTGCGTTTCTTTTTGAACACCCTATAGAAAGAATAAGTTTACCCTTTTTAATAAAACTCCCTACGTGAGTTTTTGACAGAAAAATATGGCGAGACGTTCGCCATAGATCCTTTTCCTTTCCTCTGATACAGATGTTTGGGTTCCTGACCTAGAAGACATGGGGTCGTAGCCTTGCCTGAATTTCTGGCCAATGAACGTAACCACCTCATACAGCTTTTGCCAGAGAATAGCCCTGTGCGTGTAGGTTCATGGGTTGCCACTGCTGTCATATTCATATTTCTATTCTCGGATAATTCATCATCGGTAGGGCTCCGTCCTCGTACACCACATCTTTCCTTTCACGCTTCTCTGCCGTTATTTCTCTGCTATTTTATTAACTTTTCTTGCCCATCGCTTCTTGCTTGTTTTTTTTATACCAAAAGGGGGTCAATTATTTCTCGAACCAGAGTTGGTTGTGGTTACTTGAAACATACATGATCGGATTGCTGCACACCTACGAGTCTATGAGATAAACCTTCCCAACAAAGCTGCTCAGTGAAGCAGAAATCTCCCTTCCTTCTGCTCTTTTCTTTCTGAGCTTGATACGTAGGAAGATCTTTCGGGCACGGTTCCCAGTAGAGCTTAATTTTTCCTTGGCTGTCGGCTGGAGGTTGGCTGCACCCGAGCATCGTCACATCCATCTTCACAGTACACGTTGCAAGGGTTGCCTTCCACCTAATGGAGCGTGTTCTTGTGGTGGTAGTGAGATTGAATTAAGCTGTGGGTACAGTCACCTGACAACCTTTCAGCTTTACTCTTTCCACTTCTAACTCTCCTTCGCTCTACCGGGAATTCTGAAGATCTATCTGCACTGAAAGTTTTTGTAGGACCGTGCCCCTGATGTCCTGTAGAGCTTTCAGCACCAAAGGACTCATTTCGCTATCACTTCCTTTTAAACTATTGTAATCTTGTTTGGTTACTGTATTTTTTGGCGTTCAATGCATTCTCGACTGAGTTACATGCCTAATTTTTACGTTTTCATTGTCGACGAGTACAGGTGTCTGTAGCTGATGGCTAGCCACGCTCAGTACCTTGCTTGGGAGTTGTAATAGAAATTTGACTTGGTCGACCTTTCGTCAACTGTTTTTTGAACACACACACACACATATATATACATTAGACCAAGGGTGTCAAACAT